GTTTGTATTATAGTATATTTTAAAATCTGGTAGTGTGATGCCGCTAGCTTTGTTCTTTTTGCTAGGATTGCTTTAGCTATTCAGAGTCTGTTGTGGTTCCATATGAATTTTAGGATTGTTGTTTCTGTTTCTAAGAGAATATCATTGCTATTTTGATCGGGATTGCATTAGATCTGTAGATCACTTTGAGTAGTATGGTCCCTTAAAAACCATTAATTCTTTTGCATCCCTGGAATAAAACCCACTTGATCATGGTGTATTATCTTTTTGATGTGTTGAATCTTTTGGATTCAGTTTGCTAGTATTTTGTTGAGGATTTTTAAATCTGTGTTCATCAGAAATGTTAGCCTGTAGTTTTCTCTTTTTGTTGCATTTTTATCTGGTTTTGATGTCAGGATTATGCTGGTCTCCTCAGTAATGATTTTTCCTTTAAAGTATACTTTATCTGATAATAATAGTGCCATTTCTTTTGATTAATATTTTTAGTATTTTTTTATATCCTTTCAGTTTCACATTTTTGAATCATTATATTTTCTGCTATAAAGAATATATAACTTTTAAAAAATATGTAATCCAAAGATCTCTGTCTTTATTCTTTACCTAACAATATTGATCCATTTACCTTTACTTAATATCATACATTTGAATTTAATACTTTTTGTATCATTTTCTATATATTATTATTTTAATTTGCTTTTTTTAAAAATCCTGATATCTCATGAATTGATTCAACATTTTTGACTTCCATTTTTGTGTCCCTTTGCTAATTAGCTTCTCCAAACCGATTTAGAAGCCATTTATTCTTCCTTTTATTCTTTAGAGTTTACTTTCCAAAATGCTTACATGCATCATAGATTTAACAAATGCTAAAGTTAATCATTATCTCTGCCCTCCTCCTGAGTAATGCTACAATCTTAATTTTACTTCATGACACCTTTTTCATGTGCCCTATTATTTCTTTCTAATAATGATAGTCCTAAATTATTTTTAGTCTTTCCCCAATTGTTACTATTAATATTATTAATATAATTGATATTTATTTATAATAATTTTCAATTATTTTCTCATCATTGTTTCTGATATATTTCTTCATATTTTGGAGTTCATTCTCTTCCTACTGAAGTATATCCTTTATTATTCCTTTCAGTAAAGGTTTCCAAGTGATATGTTCTCAGTCTTTGTCCTAAAACTGTCATAAATTTTGCTCTCTTTCCTTGAATTGTAATTTAAATATTATAGAATGCCCATTTTTAAGTCTTCTGTTATTTTATTCTCAGAATTTTGATGTTACTGGTCTGTTATATTTTTCTTTCAATTTCTCAATGGTAATCCCTTGTAGAAAGTCTGCTTTTCTATTTGGGCATAGGTATGAATATGTCTGCATACATATTTAATTTTCCTATTGATGACTCATTTGACTTCTTAAATCTCAGTATTCTTATCTTTTATCAATTCTAAAATTTCCAGTCATGTTTTCATCTTCTTCATTCTCTCCCCTTATAAAAGTTGAATTATTTGTATATTAGATTATTTTCATTTTTTCCTCTATGTTTCTTGACCTCTCTTTCATGTTTTTCATTTGTTTATTTCTCTATCCTGCTTTTTAGCCAAATTATTTATATTTATTTATATCTAATTTATTGCTTAACTAACATGTTAAAATTTTAATTTAATTAACTATTTCTAGAAGTTTTGATTCTTTTTTAACTCTGTTAAGTTTTTCACAATGTCCTCTTTCTTCATTAAGATTTCTAATCATATTTTTAATCATTTTCATCATATTAAACAAATAAGTTCTGTGGTCTTTTTCAGATTGTCCTAATACCCAAAGGCTGAGGTTATGCTAACTCTCTTGTTTGATTTGTTTCCTAACTCTCACGAGAATAATTTCCTCATGTCATTTCTAATTTTTTTTATCATAGGCTTATTGTCCATTTTTAAAAAGTTTTTAATTCACTTTTCATTTTTCCTGATGGAGTCTTGTGTGCCCTGAGTTGTAGAAGTCATTCCTGCAAAGTATTATTCATTTCTTTCTACCAGTCATCTCAAGAGTATTGCTGGTCTGAAATCAGAGTTGTTTTTTTTTTCCATTACATTTTCAATTTTAAGTTACTGCCACATATGGTATAAATTTGGATACTACATCTGCACATGATATGAACTTGGGGGCTTCAGTGTCTCATGGTAGGTGTTTTTCATGGCTAGATCCCTAAGAAAAGATAAATTTTCTTGCCCCTTTCTGGGGCCAGTGGAAGGAGTCTGTCTATTGCCTCTTTCTCAAATGGACTGGTCTTTCCCAGCTGATGGCTAAACTGGGTCTCAGTTCTCATCTATATCCCATGACATTATAGTCCCCTTCACTACCCAAACAGTCCTATGTCTTAGTTCTCTGTCCCTCACAGACACCCTCTCTAGTTATGACTTCACTCTTGCTTCTGGCTGGGAGTTTTCAGTTTTTTGAAGAACTACTATCTAAAAACCATTTTTTAAAAATCAATTTTTAAAAAACTGTATTGTAGGGTGAAGAGTTTGGTTCTGGAGTTTATAGAATCAATTGGCACATGAGTTTAGGGGTACTCTGACAATTTATCACGATGGCAATATGACTGCTCACACGTTGGCTGTTGTTGCATATAAGTTAATATTCTTTAGCCAGATTTCTGGTACCCATTCCTCTAAAATACTGGAAAATAAAGTATTTCTCATTCAAATTGCTCTACTTTGTTGGAAATGAAATCATTTGTGGGATAGGTTTTTACTGTGGAGATCCGCGTTGGAGATGCTTAGCAGATTGGTCAATACGTGTATAGCAGTGGGTTTGTGGATTTTGAATGTCCGTAGAGCTAATCCGTAAGTTTTTTTTCGGGAATATTTTGTATCTACTAAGTCTGCTATGTGCATAAAATGGCCCGGGCAGTGGGGAAAAGGGAATCACACTGTCTTTGCGGTAGACTTTGGTGCACATCTTCCCATGACATTGAACTGTCCTCTCCTCTCTGAGGACAGTCCGCCATTCGGAGACACTCTGCTCCTCAGCCTTTAATAGTTGGGATGGAGTGGTCACACGCTTTCAGAAATTAGGATTCAGAGACAGTTAATTTTTCATGTGCTTATAACTCTACCTATAAATTTGGAATTGCAGGAAGATATATGTTGTCACATATATGGAAAACTAAAGAAAATCAGTCTGTAAAAAGGGGAAGAATGAAGATGATTTAGGTAAGCTTCAAAAAAAATTTCTTTAGTCTCTGACAATTGTTCTTACTCTCTCTCTTTTATACAGATTGAGTTGAATTTTTTTTTTTTTTTTTTTTTTTTGAGACAGGGTCTTGCTCTGTCGGCCTCCCGGGCTACAGTGCAGTGGCGTCATCATAGCTCACTGCAAGTTCAAATTCGTGGGCTCAAGTGACCCTGATCCTCCTGCTTCAGCCTCCCAAGTAGCTGGGACTATAGGAGCACAACACCATGCCCAGCTAATTTTTCTATTTTTAGTAGAGACAGGATCTCGCTCTTGCTCAGGCTGGTCTCGAACTCCTGGCCTCAAGCGATCCTCCCACCTCCTCCTCCCAAAGTGTTAGGATTACAGGCATGAGCCACTGTGCCCAGCCAGAGTTGATTTCTTTACAAACAAACCCGAACTAATACAAACTTTCATTTCCTGTGGATGCATGTTTTTGTTTTTCTTTTAGTTTGTTTCCTTTCTTCTATTTGCATGTTTGGAGGCACAATGCCTACAAGTTCTGGAGTCAAATAAACCAAGTTTGAATGTTGATTTGATCACTTATTAGATAAGCACAATAATTTGGCCTAAAAATTTATTTGTTGTTTATCTGAAATTCAAATTTAACTGGGTGTGTTTATTTTATCTGGCAACACTATTTGTGACATAGTTTCTTCCTTTGCAAAACAAGGGTAATAATGCCAAAGCAGCAAATAGGCTGTTAAAAATTTCAAGAAACTCATAAACGTTACATAAAACAATTTATGGGAAATACGGTTTATTATTTTCTTTCCTTTCCTTTTTATACCTATATTGTATGTATAATGCAAGAAGGCTTTGCTTACAAAGCTCATCAATATAAGATCACCAAGTGGGTGTAAATACTTCCTAGATGTGCTGAACTTGTGTTTACTGTGTTAACAGAGTAGTATCTGGGTGAAGTGACTTAAGGTTTATAGAGCAGTGGATTGGTTTGCTTTGGAATATGGAATGGGGAAATGCTTTATCCTTTTAATGCAACTATGTCTCTATTACTGAATTACACAATTTGGAAGGTTGCGTATTTCAAGCAACCTGACTTCACCAAGGTACTCATCCCAGGATACTCTTATATGCATTCTCATTAAGCACCTACTATGTGCCAGGCATATACTCAGGTCTTATGGACAAATTGGTTTCCAGTTCCAAACAGCATCTCCCTACCTGGTCTTTCTCACCTTCTACAAAAAGATGAAATAAGAACAAGTTTGAGGGGGAAAAAAAGGGAAATATGTACTAGTTTACTTTTTGCCTGTTCTGGGATAGAAAAAAATAAGATTCTTGATTTGGAGGGTTGGAGGGGCTCTTTCTTTACTTCTTATATCCTGTGTCTAAGTCTTTCTCATTTTTATCTTGCTTACTTATATTCCCCGGCCAAGGGGATCCACCCAGTACTGGAGGACTTTTTAAATGCAGCTCAAACTAACACGTTTTCTGCTCAAGGGGAACAGAAAAAGGAACTTTTCTTACAGAGGCATCTATCATGTATTTCTTTATTTATCACACCAGATCCAGTGGGATTAGATTAGACTTTTGCCTCTTCCAAAACAGTGTGGCCTTGATGACCAACCACTGAGCAATCTGCACAAAAATGGCCTGCTTCCGTTTTTGTTTTTCTTGTTCAAAGTTCCCATCTCTGCAGATGCCACTGTAAGCAGCAGAGGTAGGAGCTGGTGGAGAATATGGGCAGGTTCAGTTTGGCTTTGAATGTGCGGCGGTGGCCTCCTCTGTGCTTTCCTTTCTATTTCTTGTTTTCCTTTCCACTGTCTTTCACGTTGTTGCCTAGAGGCATCTGGGATGATTCAGCCTTGTTCATAACATTCATTTGCTTAGCTATGGAAAGGAAGTTAGTCCTTGGCTCCAAAGACTGGACTGGTGAATACACTGGTGGTGATGTAGACTGGCCACTTCTGGAAGGGCCATCTGCAACTGAACTGGTCTCTGGTGTCAGTGACACTATATTTACAGTTTCATATGGATTCTGAGATAAATCAACATCACTCTTCTTGTAACAGACAGTATTGAAAGGGATGGCACAAAACACGAAATCCGAGGGCAGCAGCTTGAAGTCGTTGGCCGGCCGGGTAATCACAAACCTGTGGGACAAGCCAAAGATGAATGCTGAGCCTCTGCAGCTAGGACAGTGTAGCTTTAGGTAATGGCCCCAGAAACAGAAGTCGTTTTGCTGGGCCAAAGAGGAAATGTTTTGTTTTGCCTTGCTTCATTGGTTTCCGATTAATGGAAAATGTCTCTGGCATGGTGCAATAAGAGAGGTCCCAGAGGAGGAATTAGGGGGTTGGCTTTCTCCCCCTTTCTCCCCCTTGGGTTCCTCTCTGAACCCAACCACCTCTGACCTTAGGCATGACATTTCCCGCCTCTGGGCCTTGCTGTTCTCATCGTTTTAACTGGAGAGGGCTCCGACTGTGGCTTGGACTGGTTGACAGCGAATGACCTTTCGGACTCCAGGTTTACCTACTAGACACTGGATCCATGCATTCAGCTGGTACAAAGCCAAGCACTGAGCCACGCTTTGTCAAACCAGAACATGACATACATTTCAGATGTTTCCGTTCTGGTTTAGGCCTACCCTAACCTAATACTTTTGCCACCAACTTTTACATGGAATGTAGCCTGGCCAATGAAGGGAAGCATTTCTAAAACAAATGAACAAAAGTTCTATTTAAAGCTCTGACTAGTAAACAGATAATGGACGTCAGTGCTCTTAAAGAGCACCCCGAGCCTGGACCTGCAATGGAGAGACGATGTAGGGAAGCTGAGCACACTACTGGGTACTTAGCAGATCCTTAATAAACGTGGACTAAATTAGGGAGTACACCAGTGTTCCTGTGGGAACATGGGGGCGGGGCTTGCATCCCGCAAACCTCACTGCTGCTCCAAGTGATCACCTCCTCTTCCCTAACGTGGATCTCAGGGCACCATTGACCTTCCTCCACGCAATAATCTGCCTACTTCTCTCTTTCCCACTGAGTCCTCTGGAACCCCAACTCTATTATAATGAAGATCTACTAAAAAAGATGACATATTCCATTTAAAACCAAAATATCATGCTCTTTCCTGAGGTTCTTTCTCAAGTATAAGCTGCATATTCTCCCAATTACCATGTTGCACAGGTTTTCCAGAGGTGTTTAGGGGAGAGGGTGGAGTTTGGGGGGTGGAAGCAGAGAGAGAGAGAGCGAGAGAGAACACACCAGCATCGTGCATGCTTCCCAACACGGTTTCCCGAACATCACCCCTCCACCACAGTCTGGATGGTGAGTGCTGGGAGCCCACATCGCCCTCCCTCCTGACTCTTCAGTGTCATTCATAGACCTCCATATTTATTTCTGCCTTTGGCATTTGGGATACACTTTCTTTTCAAACCTTCATCTCAGGTACCTGCAGTGTCTGTGTGGTTTACAACTCCAACATCCACACACATGCCTGTGGCTTCCACTACCCGATGATCGCTATCAACAAACCACTTTCCTGGCTACATCCTGGGTGCTTTGATTTCCTGACACCGTCCCCTCTCTGAAACCTTAAGCTTTAGTAAATCACTCTCTGACCACAACTTCCCAGCATTCTTTCGCCCTCACTCCCATACTCTGAGCACGTCTGCTCTCAAACGCCATCAGGATTTCCAACCCTTTGTCCTTTTACTTTATGGTCAAGTATTGCTTTGCAAATCCACAACAGGACTCGTCTTCCACTCCCATCAGCAGCTCATCTAAACTTTTAGCTCTTTCCCAACTCCCTGTGCTACTTCTTCCTTCTTTCTCTCAGCAATGGCTATGCCTTGAGAAATCCCACTGCTAAATAAAATTCCCGTAAGCACAGCCACCCCGTAGGGCTAGATCTGCCCTGGCATACGTTCCTTTCCTCCTTTTCTCCCGTGGGCAGAGAAATCGGTGGTATTGTTGTTTCTCTTCGAGGCCACTCTCCTCTGAGTGATCTGGCTCCCTTCTCCTTTCTCCCGGAACATGCTCCATCAATCTATTTCCACTTTATTACTTTTAATTTCTCCTCTACTGAATCCTGTCCATTCTCACTGTGCGGATCTCAGTCTGGACCTACGTGATTGTCTTGTCTCTGAACTGCACTCTCTCTTCCCCTCCTGCCCTTCAAACACATATCCCCAATCTGATCTTCACCACAGCTGTCAGAAGGATCTTTCTTTACACTGAAATCTGAACTTATCACCCCTATGATTCATATGGACCAAGCACAGTGGCTGGAACAGAAGCACTAGGTCAATATCTACCCAATGATTCCAGCAGAAAACAAGCAAATCTTTCCACTGGGCAGTGGCTTTCAGCTTTAGAAAGTTGTACACACACAAACAAGTTGCAGAAGAACCCTGATGTAAAATCTAGGCCTATGTTTCAATTTTCACTGGGGGCAGAGACTCCATTCTTCTTACATGGCTGATATTAATCGGACCCTAATCATTAGGGCTCCTCTTGTTTATACTCGTTTTTCCTTATTCCTACATCACTATGTATTTCCCCTGAGCTCCGGACTTCTCTCTCATTTTGAATATAGTAGTTTTGGTTCTTATGCTTGGATGGGTGGTTAGCACTTTCTGAACTAGCATACTCCCCTTTTTTGCTCCGGGTTGAAGTCTCCTTCATCTATCATGCGGTATAAGCCAACACACAGGATTCCATAAAGATCTAATGAACCACAGAACAGTTGTCCAAAGGTGCTTCTTGGCTGGGGAGAAAAGGGAAAAACATATGTCCGCTGGGCACTTTGATCAAGCAATGACAAGCACTTACTGGGGTGTCATCTGCCTTTTCTGGCAGCAGTAGAAGTTTGGAAGCTCCGAAAGCCATTCCCTAATATCTTTATGGTGGCAGTGTCAGGTTGAGACTCGAGTCCCAGTGATGGTTTTTATCTTTCAAGAGCCTCTGGTGGGTGTGATGTGGCATGTTGTTGTGCTTGTTCTAATACCTATTGTTTGTTGGTGACCATTGTAAATAAACACTGAGAAACAGGTTGGAAAATTCAGTTTTCAAGGTATATGAGGAGCTGGGATGTTAAGTGACTTCCCGAGCATCATTCTTCCTCTCGTCTAACATAGATCACAGTCCCATGCACCCATCTCCACCTTGCTCTGAGGCTGTGGCCAGCAGGGTCACTCTGAATGTCTCACAGTTGCACATGGGTTCAGCAAAGCCAAAAGCAAATAGTCTGTTCAGGTCTGTGATTCCTCAGGATAAAGAACAAAGTGAAGACAAGACGTAAATGGAGAGAAGAAGAGAAGAGCGGGAAACTGGTCTACTGTCCTCTCTGATACCCACACGAGGTTGCCAGGGGCAGTCCTCCCAAGCCAACTGAGGGTGAGAAACCCAGGGCCACAGACGGGCAAAGGACCAGACCATACCTTTGGAATGCAGTTTGCATCTGGAATTCAAATACATAGAACATACGACTTGCCCTTTTTGGTCACACATGTCAACATGCACTGGGCGCAAAGGCCTGGAAGAGTGTGCTCCCTGCGAAGAGGGTGCTGCCGACATCTTCTGAACCAACAAAAGCTGTTGCCTTGTGAAAGCCTGCCCCTGACCCTAACACTGGACTGCTGCACATAATGTCAATCAGAACGAAAGCAGAAGGCACTGCACTGACCAGTGCATTACTCATTCCCAGGCTAGACTCTGCTCTGATTCCCACATGCCCATTGGAATTTGCCAGAATCATTACCTTCTCCTTTGCCATAATCTGCTATTTACTAGCTCTCTGGCTAATAAAGCTCAAGCATTTTCTACTGGCTGGGACAGTCAGATTCTTAGACCCAAACTCAGACTCATCCTTCCTGATTTCAGGGGACTTGATCAGATTTCTTTAGCATTTCAGGGTCAGGTGGGCAGACCCAAGGTCAGACTGCCTTGGATGGACCTTGGCTCTGACATTGGTTGACAATGTGGCCTCAGGTACGTCCTTGCTTCTGTGGGCCTCAGCTTCTTGATCTGTTAGATGGAGTTAATAATAATGCCTGCCACATAAATCCTTGGACAGATTAAGTGAAAAAACTAAAGTAGACAGGCACAGAGAAAATACTCAGTAAACATTAGCTACTATAATTATTTTTAATACCCTTGTCAAGGTGCAAAGTTATTGGGCCCCTCTGATGCTTCCTGTAAATTTGAGTTATTTATCTGGAAGATGGGGAGAATAACAACTGCTTTATACACTGCCCAGGAGTGTTGTAAAAGCTAAATATAACGCGTAGATGCACTGTGATTTGTAAAATGCTCTGTGAGTATGAAGTTGTGTTACTTTTGATCATTATTATTATTTCTGGGCTACATGGGTCATCTATGAACCCAAATAGCCTGGACCATTTTCAGAAACTCAGAGAGGGAAAGAAGGAGGAAGCTCTATGAAGACAAGAGGAGACTCACTTGAACATCTGATAAAATGGTTTGGTGTAAGGACAGAAGCCCCAGCTTACACCGAGTTCTCCCAGACAAGAATGTCGTGCAGCTCTCGGCCACCCCATGGAACCTCTCCTTATCCAGATGGTGTTCCAGCTGGGAGCTTATCCCTCCTGTCACCAGCATCTGAAGTAATTCCAGGACATGATAATTGTAGAAAGCCTGGAAAGCAAGGACAGGCCAGGTGCAAAGTCAGGAGAGCCAGCACGTGAACGGTGGAGGTGTGTCGACTTGGAGATGGAGTGGGCATCACTGCTTAAAATGGACCTGAAGGTGCAGAGCAGTTTCTCTTATTATTGTCCCCAAATTCAACCAGAAGATGGCAGTTTGGGTAGGGTGCTAGGTTAGGCAAAGTGCAGAGAAAGCAATACTGGCCCCATTCCTGCTTCCTTGGAGGATACACTGAAGAAGAAAGTGGATAATAACACTGACACCAGTGATTCCACTCTTTAAAAAATGACCAGAGGAGTAAGTCAGGCCACAGATACCCTAATAATCTTCAATATATATTCTTTAAAAATATATACATTTAATCTGATTTCCTATAGATTTTCCTCCGGGGGAACTACTGATATCATTGTTATCTATGCTTGAGTCTTCTGGATGTAAATCTACTTAAAATCCTTTTGATTGTGATCCAATGAGGACAGTTACTGACTTAGCCCTTATTAATATGTGGATTTCCCAAAACTCTCACTGTGGACTTTAGAAATTGTAGAAGCTGAATAAATCAATGTGTGGGGTTTTGGAATCTTTGGCATCAAAATACACCCAGAGGAGGACATGTGGACCAACTTCTTATTTTGAAACAAGCCTGAGTCTGAATAGTCCTAGTCATTTTCATAAACTCCCTTTCTCTGGGCTTCCAAATACATTCAATGTAGACTAGGCATCAATATTCATGTAAATGTCATCATAATATATTACTCATTGGGTTTTTCTTCAAATCTATTGAGTGCAAAATACTTTTAATTTCCCACCTTTTGTCTTATCTAAATTAGACTTTGCTACACTAGAAATGAGAATTTCTATTTTTGTATATTACCTACAGAAAAAGCAACGACTTTGTTTTTATAATAAATAATGGGACGAATTCAATTGTTATTGTTCTAGAAATTTTATCATTCATTTTCTCTACTCCCAAATTCAGGGATTTGTGTTCCAAAGCCTAGATTATTATAGGGACCTCTTTGTTATTAATAGTTTTCCTGACTTGATTTTCTTTTCATCTGCAATCCATTGTTTGCAATGCTCCCTTTGTTTGTGATCCACCAGGAACACAAATCAGATCACGCTGTGTAAACCCTGAGACCCTGTATATCCTGCTGTAAAACCAGGCCCGGACTCCTCACTGTGGCCTTCAAATCCTTCGTGATCCAATACAACCTCCCCTTCCAGGCCATCTCCCCCATCAACTGTTCCCTCCAGTGTGCACTAATCTCTGTAGTTGCTTAAGGTCTACTGATGCCTTTGCTTTTGAACATTTCGTTCATCTCCCATCCACTGGGTGACTGTTTCCTGGGCCTCTGCATTGGGATGAAGTTCTTCTTTCTTTGGGATCCCATCGCCACTGGCTTTTAATCTGTTTCGTTCTTTTGTACTTTATAGTTAGCTGTGTGGAAACACACCTGAGGGCGTGTCTTGGACTGCCACATTTTAGTTGAGTTCCTGTGGGAAATTCATGTATTTATTTTTTTTTAGCAATAGTGTTCTAATCTTTAAAGTGGACGTGATAATACCCACCTTCGAGCATTGTTTGCAGTGTTGAATGAGGTAGGCTGCAAACATTACTACATTCTACTTTCTTTATCATTGGTTGTGATGTGTCTGGATCATATGGAGTGATATTAACAAGCACAGATTTCTGGGATACCAGATCTCCTGGATCATAATTCATGGGCAGGAGTGGGCATCAGAATTTAAAGAGCACCCCAAGTGGTTCTGACCCTGGTGGTCCTTGGATCAGACTGAACAACACTTCCTTAAAATGCTGTGAGCCTTCAGAACGTAGACTTTGTCTCCTTAGCAGTCATGGCCCCTATCGTGCATTGAACAAGGCAGGTGTTGGGAAGCTGTAAGAATATTGACTACAATAGGCAGGGGGTTTTAGCAAATAAACAAATATTGCTAGTAAAACAGAGGCGATTGGGACAAGTTGACCTAAGAAAAAACAATATAATCTATATGGATTAAGAGAAAATATAATAAAATAACTTCTACAATAGTTTTCAGATTGAGAGATGACTTCACCTTTGTCTCCAGACTAAAAAAGTCTCTGTGTGATGGCTCCCTCCTCACAGTTCCCTGTCACATCCCACCACCACCCAGGCGGTGATTATGGAATCAGGTCCCTGACATCCAGGAGGGAGAGGAGGGTGCAGATCCAGTTTGAGCCACAATCCGTTTAAGGACATGTGGTCATAGTGTAGAGTGATCAAACACAATACTGTTAGAATAATTCCCCACTGATTAAAGAAAAGGTGTAAATTCCAGGGTTATCCTGGTGTTGCTGGCTCTAGGGAAACATGCTTTACATATTTAACTAAGAGCGGCTTAGCTTTTAAATATATCATTTCTTCAGTTTTGACATCAAAAGGATTGCAGTTCTATATTGAGGAACATAATGGGATTTATATGTCAGCTTTATTCTGTGAACTCATCTCCTAGTCTTACAGTTTGGGTTCTCTGGTACTGACCTTTCTCAACCTCTTTTTTCTTTCCTTTCTTCCTCCCCTTTCTTCCCTCTCTCCTTTCTTTCCCTCCTTTCTCCCTCCTTCTGCCCTCCTCTTTTTTCTTTCTCAAGAAAATCTGTAATTCTAAATGTGCTTGAAATATTTGCAGACTTCTAAACTTAGACAGTGTTTCTAATATCAGAATATTTACCAGAACTTGGACTTTCAATGTTAGGGAATGTTGCAGCCCAGCATGGTTTATCTTTTAGCTTCAATGAATCTTGAGGTCTCTCTCATAACCTAGAATATTACCTAATGGTTTAGACCCTAGCCTCTTGCTGCTTTCTCTTCTGAGAACCCCAAAAGGCCCTAAGATGAAATGCTGTCTGGGAAATACTTCTAATTTTGAGTAAGTCAGAAAAACTGCAGCTAACAAGCTGAGTGACCTTGAGAATGTCACGTCACTTCTATGGGCCTCAATTTCCTTACAAGTACAGGAAAATGCTCCCCAAGCTCATGTCTAGCTCTGAAAGTCTTTAGCTGTAAATGCATACAGGAGTGGTCCATATGGGCCTGACTGCCTCAACATATTTTAATTTTTATAGCACTGAGCTGCTAGAGGATTAAAAATGAATCTGAATTATACCTTATAGGCATATTTCTTCAGCTGGAGCAGGAGTTTATGGCAGCATACCAAGGGTACTAGAAGCCAGTCTAATGTCAACTGCATCAGGAGATTTGGAGGGAAACCCATTATTTTACATTGAAAAAAATATACATCTATCAAGGAATAAAATTTTTAAAATTGCATGAAAAATTTAAAACAAAACCTCAGTATTTCTTAGTGATGACGAGTTCACAGCACGTTATTGTGGACTTCGTTGCCTCCTGGGAACTTGCACATTCGTGCTCCTTGGTGTTTACCATGGGCGATGGGGAAGGAAGTGGGAGGAGATTTCTGTTCAGCTTTCTGAGTAAAGGAGGGAAGGACGAGGCCCATAATATTATTAATAGGTTGGAAATACAGCTCGCAAGGGTTGGAGTCGAGACTGGTGTTCTCATGTGTTTTGGAAACTGTTGAAGTGTGAGCCCCTCTTTTCCTGAAGGAGTCTGTTCTGAATGCACCTGTCGTTGGCCTTGCCCTTCTGTAGACAGTGGGCTTCAGGAAAAGAGAAATTCTGTGTCTAATTATAATCTCTGGGTAGCAACAGGACACAGATCTCTTGGTGCATGAAGGTTGGCTCTTTCAACCTTCCAGGACCTGGAAGACCTGGAAGATGGTCTTTGGAGAGGGAAATTGGACACCTGCCTTGGAATACAGGAGAACGGGCTTCTGTTTATGTTCTATCTCTCTGTTGGTCATATATTCTCACCTCAAGGAAGTGGTTTTCAAAATCTTGTTAACAATCAAATGTCATGTGGGCCTCCAATATGGTATGGATGTTCTGATGGGGGGAGGGTGGGTTGGCCAGGTGGGGTGGGCACATGCTTGTTGCTGCCCCCCTGCCTGTTTCCCCAGCCACCCCCCTGAGCACTCTCAGAGATGGATTCCTCTAAGCCAAACTTGAAAAAACGCTGTATTGGAAAGATACTAATAATCACAGAAACTGATTTCTGGAGGGGCAGTTGATGGTGGTAGTGAGGTTTGACTCTGGATTCACATAAATTTGGGCCTGAAAACCAACTCTTTAGTTGCAAATGATGTGACGTTAGGCAGATTATTTACCCTGCTAAGCCTCAGCGTTTGACAGGAGAATTAAACAAGGCAATGTGGGTAATGCACTTAGTGAAGTCCTTGGCACAAGGTAAGTGCTTGAGAGATGTTGCTACTCTCCCCATGACAGATATTGCTATTATTATTGATATTATCTCAACAACAAAGCTTATCAAAATAAGTTGCCTAGAGGCCTGTGCTGGATCTGACCTGGGGAGGAGAACTGTGGTAATCAGTGATGTCTGCCATGGGCGTCTGCTGGGGGATGACGGCCATGGGGCCCATTGCTGCCATCCTAACTTTATGGGGAGATCAAAGCCTTCCTGCCGACCCTAAGCAAGGAGGTGCTCTAGTATGCACGGAGGATAAACAGAGTGTCTGAGAACATATTCTGGAGCTGCCCTAATGACTCCCAGTGGAAGATGATCAATGTTCTCTTCCTGCTGAGGCTACTTCTGTGTGACCAGGTGGCAAGATCAGGAGTCCAGCCTAGATCAAATGGCACCCAGAAGAGAGGACACAAGGTGCTGGAGGCTTGGGCTTCTCTCTTGAGTTCTTTCTTTATGAGTGGACGTGATGATAGGACATCACAGCCATCCTTAGACGGGCAAGTGGAACCAGTAGTACCAGGCCCAGAGGGCAGGGAAACAAGGGTGTGAAGCATTCGCTGATGATCTTCCATGGTCTAGTCTGGCTCATCCTTTAAGTAGAACTAAAATGCGATCATGCTGCTGAGCTGTACATCATTAAAGACCCAAGCGCTGGGGCAAAGGCTACTAGGTAAGACCTAGAGGTTCAAACCGTCACCCTTAATGTGAAAGATGCCTCCTACCCATGTGCTCTGTCGCCATCACCACCCCATGTTCAGGTGGCCAAGTGCCAGTCCCCAGTAAAGCGATTTCCAGGAATTCTTAAGGACAAGCCAATGGTCCAATGTGGGTTGTGCACTCACATGACTACCCCCGAGTCAGGCCACACTACGTGGCTTTTTCTCTCCCACAGACTTCACCATGGGGACTCAGAAAAGACTCCTGAGATTTTATGTGGCTCATTTTGTTTGATGCGACATCTGAAGGCAGCCTGGGAAGATTGGCACTGCTCAGACTGCACGGGGCCAAGCCATGCTCACTTGGTGCGTGACGGGAGGCGTTGCTGGGCCCAGGTACTAACACCTGGTCCAGGACTCGTTACCAAGCCTTGTTCCCTATGCCTGCCTGTGTTGTGTGTTCATTGTTTTTCTTTCCACTCTTCCAGCCCTGCTCTGTCCGTTCTGCCCTTCCGACTAGCTGTAAATAGAATCTGTGGCTTTGTTCCTGCCTGTGCGGGCCGGTTTAATTAAGTCTCAAGTTTAATTTAAGGCATGAAGCCTCCTTCCGTCTGAGAATCTCCAAAGAGAACTGGGGCCTCAAACCCATCTGAAATGTATTCTGGAGACAGGTCAAGTTCATCAGAAGTCACCTTCTGCCTGACACTCCAGGCATTAATTCCAGGCAAGTTAATTGACATACTGGTGACAGACAGTGATAGAGCACCTTCTCTGACAGAGCCACCTTCACAGAAAAGCGAGCTGACTTGACTTCTGAGGCATCCCTGTCTGGCTCAGTTAAGGTTGGATGCTGCTGCTTAACCCTTTAGGAACCTCATAGTCTACCAACTTGTTGAATGGTAAACTATCACTGAAGTAGTGTTCTCTCTCTGGGAGCTCGTGGGGTTTGTGAGATCCCTGCTATGGCTTAGAGAGGCACAATCAACAGGAATACAATCCCCTCAGTACCAAACAGCATTGGTGCCACCAGGGAGACAGACAGACGCATGAGTCAAGCCACGCTCCCCTAAATGAGCAAGCCATGCCTGCGAGGCACCTCTGCAACTCAGGAGGGATGCCTCTCTACCTGGAGCTCCAGAAGCCAGCAAGGCCATCAAGCTGTGTTCAGAGCTTGTGCATTTAAGCACCTGCATATTGGCATCCAGCCACTTTGCAATCCTTCCCTTTAAAAATCAGTGTGGGTAGCGTCTGTAAGGTGGTGGGTTACATGTCTTGCCATCGGAGGAGTTCTTGCAGTCATCCACAAATGGCTACACATGGATTCCGCGGGTCTTAGTCAATTTCAAATGCTCTGAACATGCTGGGGGTGCTCCTGCCTCACTGCCTCTGCCTGGAGTGTTTCTCCCCCAAGGCTCTGATGCCCTGTGCTGCGCCCTCCTGTCCTCCAGAGCCGGGCTCACCTGCCACCTTCTCAGTGCTGCCTTCCCTGGCCACATTATTGCAGCCTGCAACCATTTCTCCAAACCCTGCATTTCCTATCACACGTGTCCTCAGCCCTGGTAGCTGGCATCGCTATGTTACTTATTTATCGTGTGTATGCCAACCTCCTCCACTAGGCCAAGCTCCATGCAGGTGGAAACGTCTGTCTGTCTCATTACTGCTATATACTCAGGACCTGGGACAGTGCCCTGCACAGAGTAGGTGTTCCATAGGCATTTGTATGACTACTTAGGGGAATTCTGCAGCAGGAGCAAGAGATCTGCTTAGTGGCTAAAGAGGTGCTGAAAACTAAAGAACAACCGTAGTCAAAAATGCCCCCCAGGGAGGAGCAATGTGGAGGGATATTCGACTTAGCTCTAAACAAAACTCGCACCACCAAAGGCCAGAGCTTTTTCCCTGAAATCCCTGGGTCCCTTTATGGTCAATTTCCACATGAGCTGTTGGGGAGAAGTTGGAGAAAAGAGAAAGCAGTCTCTTCTGAGCTCGGACACCAAGGGGCCTGGGCCGCTGAGATGCGCTTGAAGCCGAGAAGCTGACACTCGTTGCTCCTGGCAGCAGGTGTTCCGGCTCCAAGGCCTCAAGTTTCCAATCTTGAAAATGAGATTTTGCGTTCCTCATCAGGCAGTTATGAGAAAAGATGAAATAATATATGTGCATGAGCTTTTTTGGAAACTCAAAGAGAACTTACAATTGTGAGGTGTTATCATCTACTCGGCCTTAGCCCACCCATTTGCTCCTCTGCGGGGGGTTCTAGTCGAGGGAGATCCGTGGCTTGGCTGTCCTTACCGTGGCCAGGAGGGAATCCAAGAAGCTGCCAGAAAAGACGGCTCCTGTGGAAAAGGAAGTGCTGAGGTGCAGGTCTGTTCCTGGAAGGGACCCTTCCACTCCACCAAGCTGCTCTATAAAGTGGATGTTGTAAGGATTCTCTGCGAGACAAAGGAGGTGAAAAGGGAAGGCAAGGAGACAAGGTTAGGAGCACAAGAACAGCCGTCCAAGGCAGGCCAAGGGGCGAGCCCTTGACCGAAGGATCTGACACCTACTTTGGAGTCTCTGGGATCTACTCCTACTTCAGCACACGATTTTTCTTTCCAAATGTCTTCCTCCCCTAAAGCCATGTATCCCTGTTGAGTACCTTCTCCATCAAGGGGGCATTCCTGTAGCATGGCCTCAGTTTCTCCAGAAAAGTGTCCTGATTGTCACACTTACATAATTTATCTTTCAAACCAGGACACTTTGGGGAGTAAAAGGGGGCTCTTAATAATTGCACTGGAACAATAGGCATAAATAGGAATGTATGGCCACCCCAGTTATAGTCTTTGATCATAATACTATGTTGTAGATGACTTGGCATTTAATTGGGTTCCCAGAGTTATCTGAGCCCAGAATGCGTTAGAACAGAGGCTCTAAGAATTAATGTGCATGTGAATCATTGGGGATGTTTCACACTGCAGACTCTGATTCACTGGGTCGGGGTAGGGATTGAGAGTCACGCTCCCAGATGCTGGCCATGCTCTGATTCACGGACTACACTGTGGGTAGGAAGGGCCTTGAGGCCAGTACAAATTATCCATTTGCATGTCTATATTGGCCCCAGGCGGCATCTCAGACCCCTGTAGGCAGCCTCCAGCAGTGAAGGGAACTGGTCTTTGTTGGGCTTGAGAGCAGAGGCACTGGCTGCCTTTATTCCTGGATTCTTGCCTCAAAATATCTGTTTAAGAACAGCATTGGAAGACAGAGATGACATTTCCCACCAGAGCAAAGTGAAGGCATGCTTACTGCCTGTTACAAAAGATTCTGGTTTCCTAAGGTCAGATTCCTGTCCTACAAAGCAATCCACTGTGGGTACGTGTGTCACCTGGCCCTCTTCATGTCACCATGTGGGAAGCAGAGCTTGGGCAACCTGCTCAACCTGGCCTTTGTTATTGCTCTGAATAATAACTGTTTGTTTTGTCTCTGACCCAGGGGTCTTGTGTCTTCTGCCAGTATCCATGAGGTGGTGGCAGGTGAACTTGTTGGTCGGCAAGTAGGATGACATCTTAAACCCTCACAATCCTTAACATTATAATTCTTAATATTATTGATCAAAACAAATCAACTGGACATATGGCTCAGAATACATTCCTTACCAATACTGGATTATTCCCTAATTCTTTACATTATTCCTTAGTGAGTTTCAGGGAAGTGACATAGTGGTGGTATTAATGAATCATTTGCTTCCAAGAACAGCATGATTTTTATAAAAAATGAACAAGGTGTGACTAACATCAACCCACATGTCCTGCGTACTTCTGCTTTCCTCTCCTTGCATTGCCAACCCTCAAATCCCGCCCCCCCCCACACACACACACTCCGCGGGCCTTGTCCCAATCTTGCTGTGTCACCCTAAACTGGCAGCCTCAGCTTTCCCAGTCATTTTCCTGCAGACCCTGTCCATTCTGTAGCTCAGTGCTGGCATCAGGCCTGCAGCTCCTATGTCAACAAAACCCTTGCCAGCCAGACAAAGAACAAGAAACTGAGTGAGCTGGCAGCTGACTCGTTAGGCTCATTTGACAAGGGCAGCCTGGTGCCAGAAAGTCTTTAGTTGCACAAAGCCCATAAGCCCTTGGAGAGTGATTAGATGCTCCTCCGGGCCAGTGAGAAGCTACCTGATTTCCTCCCAACCACCCTGACTTAGAGTCTTCTTCAAATTAATGTATTTAGTGTATCCAGGCAGCATTCCGTATTTACAGGTTTTGCATCCAAGGATTCAACAACTGTGGATTGAAACCCACCGATATGGAAGATCTACTGTACTGTTTATGTTAGGGACTCAGGCATCAGAGGATTTTGGTATCTGGGGTCCTGAAACCAACCCCGGCGGATGTGGAGGGCCAACTGTACACACCTTGCCAGTTAGAGATTGTTCAAAGGGGGAGAAATAGATGAATAAAGAGTGCAGCCAACAGCTTCCAGGTGGTGATGGTTTCCCACCCGCTGCACAGTCCTCCCAGCTCACATGGTGGTGAGACCTACTGATTCCTCTCTAAGTCCCCACTTCATTTCTGTGGCTAAGAGATCTGTTCATCTAGTTTGGCACCAGCTTAGATACTCTTAATCACAAAATGCCCATTAAGCATTTTGCTGTTTTATGGAATCAGGTCAAATCACACCTAGGACCAGCTGTAGAGATTATCTGTGAATTGGTTCAATCTGCATTAAAGGCACCACTCTCCTCTTCTTTGGTACTTCCCCTTTTCTCTTCAGAAATTCTCGGTAGCAAATTCCAGTGTGTCCCCTGGTGCCCCACCAATGCCCCCCACGCAGGCACCTTTCTCTGGCTCCCTTCCCCTGCCTTCCACTCCCAGAACTCCTCATGTTGAGGGAAGTTTCAGAAATGCTCATTTTCCATAAGGTGTTGGGAAGAAATAGTAGAATATTCTGTTATTGCTTCAAAGGGTTTTTCCATTTTAGAAAAGCATCACTCAGGGCTGGGATTAAGAGGGTGCAAGGGAGACACCTGAGGCACAAAAGTCAAGGACCCCAAGAGCGAGCACCTCTCCAAGTCTGTACCCTGCATGCCTCCCCTGCCCTAACTCTGGCCCTAGCCCTGGTGTCACTATGGGAAAGGAAGGTGTCTGAAGTAAAGCCCCGTGACAGGGCAGTTAAGACAGTACAGGAAGACCCTTTCTAGCTGTCTTTGAATCCATGCCCCCCACCAAGTCAGATTGAGCCAGTTGCTGGTCTCCCTCTGTCTCCGGATAACTGGAAGAGCAGAGAAGGCGCATGATATTCCTGCATCCTTACACCCAGACATAATAGGCTTCACTAGATGATGTCACCAGTTGAGTAAAAGCCAAGGGTGACATCCAGGCAAGCACTTCGAGTTCCTGGGGCCCCATTCTGGTTCCCAAGTCCTTTGACTGTGGATTCTAAAAAGAACCTTGGGACATCAGTTACGCATCACAAACATTTCTCCGTTGAATTTTGCCCCTAAAATGCAACTTACTCAGTTCGGTGAGGATGGGGACTCTTCGGTGTTTTGCTTTTCCATGAGCTCCACCTAAGTAATTTGAAATATCCTCTGTAGACACAGACAAAAATAAAGAAGACAAGAGATGATAAATGCAAACAAAATGGCTTACAAAACTTGATAAGAATGTAGAAGAACATCATGCAACTTGGTGCTTTACCTTAGGAAAGTTATTCCCATTTCCAAATTCCAAATCTATTTCTATATTTAGAAAAATATATATTAATTGTATGCCCTAAGCATCTCCTTTTGAAAACTGGCATGTGTGTGTGTGTGTGTGTGTGTGTGTGTGTGTGTGTGTGTTTGTGTGTGTACTTTCCAAATGACACTTCATATAAAGTACAAAAACAGCAAAGCCCTCCAAGTCGTTGCTTATTGCGGTCATAACTAAGATAGGATTATTCTCCATGGACAGTGGATCACGGCTCAGTCAGGCAGGACCTCAAAACACATCAATTTGCTTGTAGAACTTTTAGGAAAGTGGGAACAAATTGGTGTTGCTGCTCCATGAGTGCTTTTGGAAACATTGCAACTGGCTCCTGGCCCCTGGTGCCATCTGCCTCTCTGATATCCTCTCCCGGCAGAGGCACTCCTTTTGTCTTCTTTCTTCTCAGCAGAACGGGCTGCCTTCCCTTCTGGTTAGCCTGTCTCCACCAGGAGTGCCTTCGGGTTTCTTAAAGACAGGGATGGGATGTCACTTGGGGCCCTTGATCTCTGTGCTCAGTGTCTAGACACATTTTCCTCCTGTCCTAGGAGAGAAGGCACTTTGTTCAGCCCTGTGAGCCTCGACTCTAACATAGAGCTGTAGCACAGGGCCAGCTTGAAACATGGCTTTGCCACGCGGAGAACTACGAAGAGTTTCAAAAAGAAGCATGATGCTAGATTTTTGGTTTCCAAGTTAAATTAAAAATGTAAAGAAAGAAAAGGGATGAGAGAAGTGGGGAAATAGGGTGCAATTAAAGAAAACCCCACAATTATCTCATCATAAGTTATGCTTAAAACTATTGGTTATTTTTCTTGAACTTTTCTAAGGATGTAACAGGGAAAAAAATAACGAATGTTCAGGGTCTACTGGTCTACTCGTAATTAAGATTTCCTGCTGCTTTGGAAGAGGTGAGATCTCTGGGAGATCCTTTGTTTGCTGAGCTAGGTAAGTAGTTGGTTGGGGAGGGGGTGGGATGTGAAATGAATGCAGGTGAGTGATGTGGGTAAGACTCCCTGAGAAACAGATGAGCCACTGAAATGGAGACAGGGAGAGAGGAAATGCAAAGCTATCTGTTTCCAGTGGGTATGCTATGTACTGCAATATTTAACACCTCTTCCATCTCCCTGAAACATATTCAGTAGAAGAGCCAAGTCTTGTTAAAACAGAGTAGAGCTCGATGTTTCTGATATTCAACAAATTTCTGAGTCATGGATATAGGATAAAAGTTGAAGCTCCATATGCCATTATGGGAAAACACTCCTTTAACTCCTACTTCCTGATTCCCTTGCTAGCAAAGGGCTTGGAATATCTGACTTTTAGAGTCAAATGTTACAACTGGGTACAGATACATTCATATCAGCTGAAGTGACTGCACAAATATCTGCTTCCAATGCCCGCCGAAGGGTGGAGACTGAATTTCTGCCTTAACTCCGTCTCTTTGTAGAGCAACGGTTAATTTGAATGTGTCAGATCACAGCCTGGGTACATTTTTCAAATGTCAATATTTTCGCTACCTAATGGTACACAGTATTATACCTGAAGTCTTTCAGGCTGGCAGGGTGCTATTACAAAAGATTGCGTAATTGTAGATTACTACCATACATTTAAATTTCAGTAGCATATTAAGTTGTCAGGCTTAATTACCGTTATATGTTTAGATTATGCCACAGATTATTTAGTTCGGTACCTAGGTTTGCCAACCTTGTTCTCTTTGTGGTGCGACAGGGCAGCAATTAGAGCATTACTGAAAAACCTGAAGTTTCCCATGCAGATGTCCAGGAGGCCTGGCATCCTCACTGTTCCTTCGGGGAGTCCTCACTCTGCTGTCTCCCCATCACCCTCAATGTCCATCAGTGAATCTCTGTATGGAACAGCCCTGGTGGTTCTAGCTTGGTATCATATGAAAGTTTTCATGGCTGTGAAACTGTGGGAAAGCCCACTGATCCCACAAAGGGCTGACCAGATACGCCAGGGCAAGTTTCCCAGTCCTCATTGTGTGGGGCTGCCCTGTGCATTGCACTGCAAGACGTTTAGCAGCATCTCTGACTTGTACCCTCTAGATGCTGATGGCATGCCCCAGTTGTGACAACCAAAACTATCGCCAGCCATTGCCAGGTGACTTCAGGGGACAAAATCACCCCTGGTTTAGAACCACTGACCTAGAGAAAGGCAAAGAAAACTGCCCATCAGCTAGTCTTATTTGAGTGCTCAGTGCAGAAAATCTTTTCTACTTCTTGGTAGAATTTCACAATCATTTATGCTTTCAATTATTAGAGGTATTCCTGGTTCCATCTCTTATGTATGATACAAAAGAAGTATTGATATGAAGTGGGAAGAACGGTTAAGGTGCCAGACAGGCTTATTGGAGGAGTGTGAATTTCTATATACAAACTCCAGATAGATTCCTGTGATTCTAGAGTAATTGGTAAAGTTTCTGGGTAATGGTCCTTTGCTATTCATATGTCACCTCGAAATATGCTCAAAATGTGACATTAGTGATGCAATAGTGCCAGATAAGCAGACTTGATGACCTTTATTTGGTGTATTGGTAGAGACTGTCTGGACTTGCAGGTCCCTGTCACACAAATGGATCTGATCCCATCCATACAAGGAATGGCACAAGGCCTACACAGCACATTCTTCTCTTTACTTTTTATCTTTAGGGAAAGCCCCTACTTATTTTGATGACAATTCAAATACTTTGAAATTCCTTCCTTTTCTCTTCCCCTTTTCCAAGGCTTTTCCTCTCTCTCTCCTCTACTTCCTTCTACCAAACCACTCAGCTGCCCCTGTAAGGGCAACCTTCTAGCCAGGAACGGAGTACCGGACACATCATACAAAATGAATATATTTTTGTTGAATGAATGAATAAATGAAAATGTGATAAAAAGGAAAACATCCTTAGCTGGCTTTTCATGGCACTTCGTTATTCACGAGGTGCTTTGTTACTAGTTCAGTTTTGCAAAACACCCTAAAACCCCTGGTTGCATAGTGAGAGTGTGTCTAGTACCTGGCTCAGGTCACCTGTCAAAGATTAGATTACTCCTATATACCTTTGTCCCCATAGCCTTATATTTTCCCACCTTGCAACAGTGCCTAGGAATCAGAGGTAGTTCTTTTGGCTTCCCAATTTGACTCATGAATATTTTTAGCCACAGTCATTATCACAGAAAGCCTCCTGATGCCTGATGCCTTTGATGTCTGACCTCTCCAAGTGCCATGCAAAGTAGAATAGCTGTGGTCACCAGCGGTGTGGCCTGAGAACTGAGTACCTGATCTTGATACAGAGGATTATACATCCCCAAGGGAAATGGCTGGACCCAGGGAATCCCAATCACAGTTTACTTTTACTTCTTGAATTGAAGGTCTGTTTTACATACAGAAAATTCTTTAGATGGTACTTCAATATTAGGTTGAGTGGATGGTAGTTAATTTTTTGAAATAGACTAATACATAAGCCCTTTCCCATTTTGAAGGAGAAAGGACATTGCACTTTTGTAGTGGGATTAACCACAGGCACATTTTGGGTACAATGAAATACACAACAGCTCCTTGGGAGTCCAGCTCACTAGCTCATTTGCTTCAATTCAATAGGTATTTGTTAAGCATCTCCTAAGTGATAGAAATTGTACCGGGCACTGATACAAAGGAGAAAAGATAATGTCCTCATGCTGAAGGGATCCTCACTTCTCTTTCACCATTGTTTTCCAATCTGAAGTGGCTGGAAGTTAATTTTTAGTCTCTAGAAGTTGGAAGAGATCTTAGTCTCCTAAAATTCATATATTGAAAGCATCTTGAAAAGGAAAAAGGAATTATAGTTCATTCTCTCAACCACAAAACTAAGAATTATAACTTGAACATGTATAAGATCTAATGAGAATTGATTAATAATAATACCTCTTATTAATTATAATAACATACCAATCATTATGTTCACTGATATTTGATTAATAAAAAATAATAGCACTTACAATTCAGTGATTTTTCCTTAAAATGGGAGAACAATGTTATGTGCATTCTACTTAAAAGATGGATATTGTTTTTCCTTTGGCTTAGAATTCCAGAGGACCAAACTGTAGGCTATTCCTATCATAGAATTGTCAGAGTTGGAAGGGATCTTGCAGGACATCTGGCCCAACTGTGTAACTAAAATACTTCAGAGGGGAGTTCTCTTTCCTTATTCCATTCTTCCTACCCTCTTTCTGCTGGGGATGTCGCTCTCACCTGCCACTGAAGGTGACTGAGCAGGGCAGCTCATCCGCAGTGACCCAATGTTGAGGGTGGCCATGATGGTCTCTGTGTCTACCAGAGTCTGGCTGCTTGATGTCTTGGGTGGGGAGGATAAGACAGCACACATGGAACATTCTTCTATGTTGATTGCATGGAGGTCTCCAGCATAGAGTGCAGATCCCTGAAGGAAGCAAAATAGATAGAGGAGAGATTTATCAGATGGAGGGATTTTGTCTCATGACTCAGGGGGGTGGCTTTTTGTGGGTAATGTGTTTTAAATCTATTAGATGACTCAAGTGGAAGAAGAGAAACAGAGTCAGAATAACAGTGGTGAGGAAAAAATTCAGAGAAAGGAGAGGAGATGGAACTAAAGGCAAGATTGGCATCCTCACAATCTTGCTAGTTACTAGCTGGCCCTACATGTGCTTTCCAGATTAACCAGCAGAGTGGCAGTTGCTTCTCTCTTTGGTGGAGAAATAGGAATGGATTTGGTCCCATCTCCAGGCAACTTAGAGGTCACTTCTGGTAATTCCTAACATTAGCTGGATCTGGAGATTCTGGTCATTTTCTTTTCTTCCTTTGTATGACTGAAGTAAGAGGGATGGCTCAGTGAACTTTATGGTGGCTTTTGTAAAAGAAGCAAATGCAATTTGCTCCTTGAGACAATTATTTTTGAAGCTTCAAAAATATTTCTTATATATTGCCAGCATTATTTGATGAAAATTCAAATGGTTTTGTATATTTCACAGTGCACATAATGGACTTCTCGTCCAGGAAAATGGCATAGAGTGGGAGGAAAACCTACTAAAGTTCAGGGAAGATATAATTGCAACTGAAATACAACATCTGCATAGTTCCATTTCTTAAAAAGGTAAACAAAATTCTTCCTCTTCATCTGGGCATGGTGGCTGATGCCTGTAATCCCGGCACTTTGGGAGGCCAAGGTGGGAGAATTGATTGAAACCTAGAGTTTGAGACCAGCCTGGGCGACATAGTAAGACAATATCTCTAAAAAAAAAAAAAAAAAATTATCCAGGTATGGTGGTATACACCTGTGGTCCCAGCTCCTCCTGAGGCTGAAGTGGGAGGATTGCTTGAGCCCAGGAGTTTGAGGCTGCAGTGAGCTATGGTCATGCCATAGCTCCAGTCTGGGCAAAAGAGCTAGCTCCTGTCTCTACAAAAAAAAAAAAAATTCTTCCCCTTTATACATCTTTATACATCTGTGGTGTCATGTGATCCATATAAGGTGTCTCCAGAAAAGATGAAAAAGTTGTAGTGCATAGGCTGGTCAGTATTAGCTTAAGTTTAGCTGTTAAATTAAAATCAGACTCAGAAATTCAGGGAAACTCTTATTTGTATGAAGACATGGTGTTTGAGCATAAACTCAAGTCACACAATGTCTGGATTTAAATCCTAGTTTTGCCACTTACCTGCTGTGTAATCTTGGTCAAATTGCTTATTCTTTTTGTGTTAAAGGTCACCATGTTTAACATCTACCCTATAAGATTATTCTGATGATTAAATAAGTTAATATATGTACAAACTATTTAGAACAGTTAGTTTCTGGTACCCAGTAAGCACTATATAATTGAAAGCTATTATTATTAGTAGTATTAATTCTAGTACTAATAGAATTATTTATCATTATAAATATTCACTATCCCCTTATGTGATACTTACAGGCAGAATGTATATCTGGGGAAAGTTCCGGAGAAATCGCCATTCTCTTTGCAGGTAATCCAGAGACCCAATGAACACAATGTCCTTCAGCTCCTGCCGGGTATAGTTGCTAGCTCTCAAGGGCATTACAAAGTTACGAAGCCCCAGCAGGGTTGAATGGGCGTCTCCAAATACACATGCTACAATGTGGTTCCGAAATTCATGCGTTGACTTGTCAGATCGTTTCTAAGGATAAGCATCCCAGAGTCTAGTCATTTTGATAAATAAGATGAGAGTCTCTCAAAGTGAGCTCCCTCTCTTTATCCTCATCCCAACTCTTCTAGGTACATACACAGTAGTACTTTCATAAGGTTAATAGAATTTTGCAAATTGCTTATAAAAATGGAAATTATGCATAAATTGTACAATTATATCTTTTATCTTTTTGTGGAGTTCCTTCTTATTTCACTTTTTTTTGTAGGTTTCTATTAGCCTGGAGTGCATCAATTAAAGTTTAAATCAGCATCATTCCTCAGGATGTAAAATCACTGGCCCAAATGAGGAAAACATCTCTTGATTTTTGTCATATGTTGCTAGCCTTGTATGTACTATAGTAAGATTTGGTGAAAAACTAAGACATTTTAAATTCCATTGCTAAAGTTATGTCATTTAGTGAGCCCTGAAATTACATCAAGTTGTATGACATGTTGCAGTATTCAGATGTTTTTCATATATTGTTTTGAATCATATGAATTTACCTTTTTATGGGTCAAAATGGTTAAATATTGGCCATTTCATATGGTTAAACCTAATACACTGAACTGATTCAATAGACTCTTTCCTGAGACAAAGAAATTCATCATGCAAAGTGCACAAAAGAAATAGGAAGGTTATAAAACCTCCATTTGATCCCAAACATTTGAATACCTAGCATACTTTTATCAGCATTGCCAGTTGTTAACATCTCCCCAAAATCATTAAGTTGAAAACAAAATAATATATATGACATATATTTAGATTAGGTTTTCTACACATTCATAGAGACTTAAACAAACAATAAATGTAACTTTAAGAAAATGATATTCCTGTAGGAAACTTATTTTAAGCCTGTGTCTGGTTTCTTTCAGGGAATGGGCTAGTGTCTCCTCATATGGCATTGGGGCGCAATAGAAAAAGCACTGAACTTGGAATCAGAAAACATAATTCTGTATTCTGGTTCTATCGTTAGATATACAACTAAGCAAATTACTCAACCCCCCTGATCCTCAATTTCTCTAAAATGATTAAAATCAAAAAGTTAATTTTGTTTTGAAAACTAAAAAATATATTAAAAGTATATGTTACTTGACTTCTTAACAATTGTTCGGTTACTATTAGTCAAATCTGGATCTTATTAAATTCCTAGATTTTCAAAGGAAGACACTTAGAAGTTGGTAGAATATAAGTTATATGCATTTAAATTTAAGCTTGAGCATGTTCTACATTCCTAGACACAAAAAGACTCAAAATATTTCAAATGGATATATCATTCTTCCTATGCCAGTGCTTTGCTGGGTTAAATGACATCTTCTATGAAATGGAAATTGGAAAAAAAATCTAACAGGATAAATAAGTATCATCTGATATCTCAACAATTGGAGTTTACCAAATTAGCATATACTGGGAAATACTGTACTGTTCTCTCTTTCTAAGGGGGATCTCCCCGTAAAGGGAAATAAAGCTACGTGTCTGGAAAGCCTTCCAAGAGAGGGATATGAATCCTAACCAAATCTATTAAATAATTGTCTCTTGCTAATCCGATTAGTTTTAACTTGAGTAATGAAGCCTCTAACGGTATTTAATGGAACAAGTCTGAAGTCCAACAATTGCTCTTCTGAGTAGAACTAAACAATATAAAACAAGATGCATGGCAGAGACCATTAATGGGCACAGCAAGGGAGGAAATTTCTCCAAGAAATTGTGGCACAAAACTGTCTCCCATTTAAGAAAGATGGTGGCTATTGGGGAACGAGGAGCATGTGCCATTTGTTCAAAGTAACTTAAGTGGACCACTTCCACTTAACCCTCCCACAGATGAAACCAAGTTTTCACATAAACAATATTGCAACCTGGACATTTCTCTCCTAGGGACACACGTTTCAAAATCCTTAGCTTTTCTAAAACTAGAAGGCATTCTAAACTTAACAAAAAACTCAATGGGTGTTCTGAACTATATTCCATATCAAGTATCATAAGGGAAATATCTAAATGTGATCGAATAAAACATCTGCTATTTCCATTCCTCGATCATGGATGTCTCACTCTGCCACCAAATTCCCAACCTTTCTAAAGATCTGCCTCCCACTGAAAACATGTTTGGCTTCCTGCTCAGCGGATGTTTATTTTGCAGAGTTTAGAATCAGACATAATTGCTAAAATGGTGAGTTTCAGCAACCCTTATAGTCTTCAGTTGTTATGATAGCTCTGACAGTTTTGTGCTTCTGATCAAATGATTGATCATGCTTTTACAAAAAATTGGAACATATTCTGTCAGGACACTGGCGCTGAGCCACAAGGATGTTTTGTGTGCGCGTGTGCGTGTACGTCTGTGTCTAGCAGAAAAAAAATGAACCGAACTACTTTCGGAAAGCAAGACAAGATATATATAATTATCAATTAGTAATAGATGAAAAATTATATAGTCCTCATATAGCATGCAAGCAATCATTTTTATTAGTTAAATTTATCAGCTACTGCTTGTAAGGTAAACCCCTGAGATTATACTTGAATTTCCAACTCCTGAAAATAAGAGTAAATGTAGATCCAGAAAGCAGGTGGCAGAACCTGGATTAGAATACAAGGCTTTTTATATCTTAGTCACTGGCATTTCTGTGAGCTAAGTTAGTTTATCTTTTTGAAATGGCACACAGGGACAGGACTGTAACATCTACAAGGATTCACCAAGGTTGTATGGGCTGGGGGGAGGAGGACATTTAGGGGGCACATTTGTGGCTGATGTGTTAAATGTAAGTATAACCAGCTTTAAGAAAAACCACTGTAGAAAATCCAAATTTCAAAACCAATACATTAGGAAAATGCTTATTTTCTTTGGAACAAAGAAAAAACTGCAGAGTCCTTGTAAACAGGAGCCTTCCCTGGCGCATTTAAATTAATTAGATTTACTAGCAAAACAGCAAATCTTCAGGAGAACATTTTTCTGAATAACTGAGTCAGCGAAATTGTTAACGGAGGGAGGGAATAGTTGAAGACATATAATTGTTTTAAATTCCAGCATATTATTCGCACACACTTTGTCAATACCACATGTGTTACTCTGTTACTCACATGGCTGGTGAGGTATGTGGGTTGTTTTTTTCCCTAAATTCACAGTTTACAACGAGAAGTGACAGGTGCTTATGACTAACAGAAGAACATCATTTACCCTAAGAGCAGCCTTATCTTATTTGAGATTTCATACAAGATCACCTACCAGAACTACCTTGTCCAAGGGGGTCGATTTGCACCAGTGAAACATACCACTACTGTCGAGCTGGTCAGTCTCTAGATCATAGAGTAAAGTCCTAAATAGGGAGAGTGGAGAGTTAGCCTGAGAACATTTGGGGCTCCACGGTAACAAAGCCAAGATATAAAACTCATTACAGCTTTGAGCCTAAAATGGATAATAACATAATGAGAATGATCTCAGGTCTGTGAAACTGCAGAATAAACATCCATGTCTGAAGAGTGCCAGGGGCTGAATGACCAGACTATATCATAGCTGAAACACACTAAGCATTTTGGGCAAAAATCACATCAGGATGTCTTCTTTACCTTAGATTATGTGTACCTTGAAGGTACTTATTTCTGCTCTTAATTTTGCTGTTATCATGATGCTATTATTGCTTGACAGAAATCATAAGCAGTGTTTAGGGCACCCAAATATAGAATTTAAAAGGCTGCGAGAGATTTAATCATGGGTAGAATTTCTCTCTTTAGCCTATTTTTCTCCTTTCTCCTTTACATATCTTTCTCTTTATGGGTCCCTGTGGAAACATCCTTATTAATTAAATGCATTCGGCATTCTTTACAGCTTCTATCACTGGCGTGCATTTTCCTAGACTTTGTTCTGATCTTGATCTAAGTCTTGGCAAAGCCCTCCGCGTGATCACCCCATGCAGTAGTCGGGCATAATGCTCGGTTTGTGATATATTCAATCACTGAAAGGGTTAAATGAGCTTTTGAAAAATCCCACTCACATCCTACGGAATGCATATTTGCTTGTTAGAGAACACAGGCAACCCTTCGATAATAGAATCACAGAAAGTTTAGGGTTAGAAAGACCTGTGTAAGTCAGGAGAATCTAGGCTTAGACTGCAGAAACGACCCTCAAATCCCAGAGGCCTGACACCGTGCAGGCTGTTTCTCACCCACACTGTATATTTCACTCAGGTGAAAAAGTGAGAGGCCTCCTACAGCCACTCAGGGCCATAGAGGGGTCAGAGGCTCTGCCATCTTATGGCCTCAACATCTGGAACATGCATCCTCAGTCATCAGGCAGAGGAAGAGAAAGGAACTGCCGTGGCCCAAAGTGACAAATGTCATTTCTCCTCACATATCCTTGGGCAGAACTAGTCACATGTCTCCTGCTAACTTTAAGGGGGCTGGGGAATATGGGAAGAAACTGAAATATTTGGTGAGCATTTCTGTCTCTGCTAGAGACTTTAAAGATTACCCTCCCTTATTTTATGGATAAAAGTCAAAGATCTAAGAAACTATAAAGCTGGCACTTGAATATATTGCTGAGGTTGAGGTGACAAGTGCTCACACCATCAGCTCTTGGTTCCTTTTGCAGCTTACGGACAGGTAGCTGGGGCCACATGACTAGCTCTGTCCAGTGAAACATGAGAAGTTCCCCCTCCCCTCAACCCCCTGGCCTTTTGCGTCTTCTGACTCTCTCCTAACCAGCTCTAGAGATGGCCAGCCTGGGTCCACAAGCGGTTATGGACAGCACACTGGCCCCTGCCTGCTTGACCCCTGTTGGACATGCCCCGTGAACAAGAAATGAATCTTGGTGTTGCTGAGGCACTGAGATTTCACAGTTTTACCACGGCATTACGTCCAACCTATCCCAACACCAACACCATTCCCAAAAAGCATGTTCCATGGCATATTCGTAATGGGAAAAGTCCCAAGGAAAGGTTTTCTGTGGTCAAATAAAGTTTGAGAAAATAGCATATGAAACGTTCCGAAAATAACATATGAGAGAATTTCTGCAATAAGGAAGTCCTTTAAAAATTGTGTAATCCAGTGTTTCACAAACTTACCTGACCACATAGACTTTCACTATTTACTTACATACTTCCTTATTTTATTTCTTTACTTATTTTAAAATACCTGTCACTATCCCCTGAAACATCTGTGGGGACATACTGTACTTTTTCACACCTGGCAGTCAGTAGCTTATGACAACACTCTCTCCTGTGCCATTTCACTCTACATCCTGGGAGAAATATAACCTACTGCTCTCTATGCCAAAGGGTTAAGGGGTTTTCCCTGTGAATTAATGTGGCTCATTATTCAACTCCTTATGTCATAATTTTTCAGACAAAAGGACTTACTCAACTTGGACTGAAGCGTCAGATCTATGGAAATGGGATAGGGAGAGGACCTAGTCAGGGAAGCTGGGGTGGGGGATGGGGCACTGGAGAAGGGTTTGGGAAGGTAGGGAAGGTAATTCCAAGTGAGATTGGCCATAGCCTTGATGTGATCCTTTATCTCCTCCTGCACTGAAGATTTATCTATAAACTGAGTGGACTTAGTGAATTCTAATCATTTACCTAGCGAGAAAATGTCGTAACATAAGTCTCAAGGTTGGCTTGACCAAAATCAGTTACCTTGTTCAATCAAATTGGCATGGCTTTTGGTAATTTAAATATCCACAAGTCATGAGCCCCAGCACCAAATTCCAAGATCCCCACAGGCTCTCTTAATGGTTCCAGACAGGACCATGGTGCTGGCTTTATGCCAGGCTTGTTAAAGGGCCTCACCGGGGAACATACTTAATACCTGAGTCTGGTTTTAATTTTTATCAGGATTTGGAGAACTGAATATATCACTCATTTATAGAACCCTCTTTCTCTCCATCAGTAGCTTTCTGGACACCGTCTCTTCGATTTCTCAAAATATGTTTACATAAAGTACCCAAGCTGGTGGTGACTGTCTCGCAGGGAAACTTTGAAAACAATTTAGAAATAGCTATCTTACCTTCAGAGAGGTGGCTTCCTGCTCTCTGCCCTCAGTACTCAAGTCTGTGGCTACTACTACTATTCCCCTCTGGTCACTTTCTTCAGCTTTTCCCCACTTCCCTTCCTTCTCCACACTCATGATGGATGAAGAGTCCTTGGTCTGGTAATTAAATGCCCTTTTGGCAAAAGGAAGATGATTTTCTCCCAAGCACATTTTAACTTGACTCAGAATAGCAAATCAATCACTGTACATTTCTATCATAATAAAAGCATGATCTATGTATACAAGCTGTCACAGACAACATCTTTCTTCATTCTGATGTTATGGAAAACAGATATGCTTTAGAGGAAACACCTGTTGGAGACCCGCATAAAGGAAAACGCTGGAGGACACCCACTTCATCATAAAGGCATCCATCTGGTGTCCTTGCCAAAGCAGAACCTAATGTGATTTAGATCACCATCCCTTAACTAAAGTTCCCTTCTGCCATATGCTTTGCAAATGACATGATCCTTGCAGAAATATACCTTCTAAAGAGACTAATAAATCATCTATGAGAAAGCTCAGCACTAGCAGTCTTAGAACTTGGAAATGAGAAATGGAATATAAAGGCGATGCTGTTGGAGGAAAAGGTAGCTATGGGGACACCATCCAGCTCAAAACAGACATGTCACACACTGACCAGGGTCGAGGTCCCTTAGGTGATGGGGCTTTGGTATAGGGGAGAGCCTGGCAAGAAATATGGTGGGAGTTGTCTGGGACGGCCTTCAGCAGGGCATGTGTGGGATGAGAGTGGGGTTAGTTCCCTGGTCCCAAGATATGCTTCTTACTGCCCAGGGAGTGCTACTTCTGCCTAGGAGCTTCCAGGAGGTACTGGACCTTGAAATGTCCTCAGAGTCAGGTCTGTGGCTTCCACCTTTGGAAATCAATAGGCCAAGTGTGCTGAGTGAAAATGGCTTCTGCAGCTAGTCCACATGTGGCCGTGTGGAGCAACAAGTGAAGGGAGACTCCAGCTTTCTTCTCCGATGATTGCCCTTCTTTGAGCTGCTTTGATATGCATGAAGCCACCGTCCTGTGAGCACGTGCTTGACCATGTTCCAGCTAGCCGTGGAAGTCAGGCTCTTTCCTCCCTGCTTTCTGGAACGATTGTGAGTAGAGCACTTATTCTCCCATGTTCTGAGTAACTTATCTTGTAGGAGTCCTACCACTTCAAGGAAAATATAAATAAAGGATTATGTGCCTCTGGTTACCAGTGGTAGCACCTGACGACAAAGAGACCAAACCATATAGGAAAATCACGTTTAGCGTAGTAGATTAGGTTTCACAGCGCTAAGTTAGGAAGCATGGTTTCCAAGAATGTAAATTAGTTGTCATTATTTTCTTCAACTTGCAGAATTGACTCAGATTATTCTCAAAGATTATCTGCCAATGGATGTGATCTTCCACTCTCACAATATCTGTTAGAAATTTCAAAAAGTCCCTACAGTTCCTTTTATTCTTTTACAGGCCTTATTTTCAGCTGTGTCAGGAAATCCCGGCTTATAATCATTGCATTTGAAATCACCTTAAAACCCCACAGGTGGCTTGTAAATTCTTAGGAGAGCGTTTTCTAGGCCGGATGCAGAGCAATATATTTTTTTGTTCAAAACTCGAGTTATGCAAAAATAACAAGTCTCATGAAGTTTTAGCACAGGGAGGAGGACCAGTCCCCTGATCCAGTGTTGGAAGGAGAGAAGGAATGTGTCTGTGTGTCCAAGAGTTTCAATGACCTTCTTGGTTCAATCTTTCAAAACTCCATTGCAGCTATCTCTTGACAGTAATAGTCGAGTTCAAACCAAAAATAGAGAAGCAAAACCTTGGTCCTAGGATGCCTCCGATGGTGCAGAAATTTTTGTATCTTGAAAGCTACAGCTGCCTTCTCTCCACTGACTTTGTATATAGTGACAAGACTATGTAGTTCACACCTGACTTGGGAATATTCATTTATTGCCAATTCTGACCACCTCTTTTGAGTTATGGGGAAAAAAATCACCTAAAATTTGGGGAATGTAAGGGCCAGTTTTATGATCAGTGCTTCCTGCTCTATCCGACTCCAAGGTCCCTCTTGGCCCTCCCCTTACACACCTGTACACATGCTATAGTCAAATATCAAAATCTGAGCCTAATCTTCATGGCTACATTATGATTTCATTTCCTTATAAGGCATTATTTTTACCTTGGAGAGAAGTTTAAAGTTTAAAAATATGAATAATTTTGAGTTCATTTCCCCAGGAACCTGTGCATGAGCAAGCTGATAGGGATCCTGGGAGCTCCCAGAAACTTCCAGGACCAAGAA